CGAATACTCGGAAAGCATGCGGTCTTGTCAATCTGATTTTTGGCGCTACCTGGTTCCAGCGAAGGCGGACCGCGCATTTTAACTAAGGGCACCTGTCGGCTGTTCCGAAGTTCGGGCGGAGGAAAAGAAAGAGAGTGTGGGAGGAGCCAGACGGGATGGCCGAGCGCCTCTCTGTCGTCATCGAAGGGCTGCTTCCTGTGGAGCAACTGCCGGAGGCCGGAGGCTCGGCTGGGTCTGCAGGTGAGAGTCCTGGGAGGAAGGGCGCACCTGCGACGACCGGGGGGAGCGGGTGCGGGGGGGGAAGTTTTCGTTTCCTGAGGGGCGGGGCGACGTTGGGGTTGGGGGGCAGGCCTAGGGCAGAGGGAATGAAACCCACCTTGCCCGGGTGGGTTTCATTCCAGCTCTGGCTGGCAGCCACCAGAGCCTGGGGTGGGAGTGGGTGACAGTGCTTTGGGTTGGCAGGCTCAGCCAGGGGCCTCTGGGTGCTTGCCATTTGGGGTGCTACCGTGGCCACTCTGGGCTTTCAAAACTTCCCAGTGCCCTGGAGAGGGTGCCCCAAGGCATGTGCAGACTGCCCCCCATCCGCCAAAAGGGAACACGGCTTTATTTTTGGGAAACACTGCACACCTTGTCACAGGATGTGCTTGGAGAAAAGGGGTAGATAAAGAAAGGGAGTAGAGGCTGCCAACTGTTCAATCTTTTATTTTGGGGGGGGGGGGGTGAAATCTGGAAAACTCTTCTAGATTTTACGGAAATTTTCCAAGCATCGCCTTTGGTTAGGTGTTTTTTGTTTTTGAGGCTTTGTCGAACAAGCAGATGCCAAACAGATGAACGACGATTTGACTTTTAGAAGGCATCTGAAATTCAGGGAAGTTTTCAGTGCTGGATGTTTTATTGTGCTTTTAATATTTTGTTGGGAGTCTACCCAGAGATGGGTAGCATATTAATCATCATTATTATTCTTATTAATAAAAGCCTTTGCTTCTGATGATCAGGCACCCATGTTTTCAAGCACTTTTCTGTCCAGGGAGTGGAACTGTGTTCCCTATCCTGCAGTTCTGTTTCGTCAGCCAGGATCTGTTCCAGTCCCCTTGCTTTCCATGTCCCTATTTCTATTCCCCGTTCTATGTTTGTGTTTTCAGGCAGAGTAGAGGTCATCTGGGCAGGCTACGGAGCTACCATTGCCCCTAAAGTTCCCTGCTTTATTCAGCCTGCACTGGGTGTGTGTTTAAAGATTTGATAATTGCATTTCTGGATTCCAGTGTGCTTTTTAAAAAAAGACAGCTCTGATCCTAGGAGAGTGCAAGTCTCGCTTCCGCAGAGAAGCAGTGGCAAAAGAATGAAGTAAAGCCAGGTTAGGGAACCTGCAGCCCTCCAGATGTTGTTAAACTATAGCTCATGTCATCTCTGAATGTTAGCAGTGCTGGCTGGGGGTGATGGGAGATGGTGTCTTTCCACATCTGGAGGCCCACAGGTTCCTCACCATTGAACTAAGTGAACAAGTATCTGTAGGCTCAATTTACAGACTTAAAAACTTATGTGTCAATTACTCTGAAGCAGATTGGCCTCAGTGCAAAACTTCGGATGCAGCAGGCCTACATTGGCTCCCAGTACATTTCCGAGCACAATTCAAAGTGTTGGTGCTGAACTTTCAAGCCCTAAATGGCTTCGGCCCACTGTATATTTCCACCCCATCATTCAGCCCGGACACTGAGGTCCGGCTTTCCAGCGGTTCCCTCACTGCGAGAAGTGAAGTTACAGGGAACCATGCAGAGGGCCTTCTCAGTGGTGGCACCCACCTTGTGGAAGACTCTCCCATCAGATGTCAAGGAGATACAGAACTACACAACTTTTAGATGACACCTGAAGGCAGCCCTGTTTAGGGAAGTTTTTTTAATGTTTGCAGTTAATAATCATGTTTTTATATTTGTTGGAAGCTGTGCAGAGTGGCTAGGCAGCCCAGTCAGCTGAGCAGGGTACTACTACTACTACTACTAATAATAATAATAATTTGAAGACTGTTTCAAATTTGATTTGTGCAGCTAGTTAGGAATCCTTCCTGTGGAGCAAGATAGAAAGAAAACCTTGTTGTTGTTTTATATATAAAAAACGCTTTCTCTTTTTTTTCAGGAGAGGGGGGCACCTCCAGTCCTGTCCCACCATGTCTGGGATTGGGAACAAACGGGTGGCTTCGGAGGCCAGTCCCTCCGGACCTCCGGAGAAGAAAGCGGGTGTCGAAGACTCGGGAACCACAGTGGAGACCATTAAACTTGGTGGCGTCTCCTCAACGGTTTGTATCTCTTTCTGCAGTGGTCTTCTCCATTTCTTAACAAATCTGCTGAATGGAATTCCAGTTCCCACTTTTGGGCTCCCATCAGCTCCTGTGGGATAAGCTCCGTTTGCTAGCTGGGAGGTCTGAGGCCTAGTTCTTTTTGCAACCGCAAACCTATTTTTGGGCTGCAGGCTGCAAGTGAGGGCCGGTGGACTCCAACTCCCAGCACCCCTGCCCACTAGCCATGCTGACTGGGCTGATGGGAGTTGGAGTCCAGCAGTATCCAGAGGGCCACCCTGTTTTACTTGACTGGCTGCTCCGTCATCCAAGCCAATTTTTAAATAAATCTCTGCGCATTGAAAACAAACAAAAGCTACCACGGCTAGAGCTGGAGCCTTTCTTTCTGCCATGTTAATTTTCTGTGCTCAACTTTAATGAACTTGTCTTTTAATTCTCCATTGTCTTTTAATTCCCCATTCATGTGGTCTGGAAGAAAAAATCCGTTATGCCAGTTGTCTCCTGCTGTCAATTCCTCTGCAGCCAAATCTACTCTCTCAGAGGAAACTAGGCCAGAGTTGAGCCTGTATTGTGGTAACTGCTCTTTGCTTGATTTCAGGAAGAACTGGACATCCGCACCCTCCAGACCAAGAACCGGAAGCTGGCAGAGATGCTGGACCAGCGGCAGGCTATCGAAGATGAGTTGCGGGAGCACATAGAGAAGCTGGAAAGGCGGCAGGCCACGGACGATGCGTCACTGCTGATTGTCAATCGCTACTGGAGCCAGGTGCGCCAGGGTCTGCCTCTCTCAGTCCCATCCCCTTTCGTGCTGCTTGTCTCAACCCCCTTGAAAATTGAGCGCTATGTGTTTCTTCCCCCTCCCCTTCAGTTCGACGAGAATATTCGCATCATTTTGAAGCGCTACGACTTGGACCAAGGCCTCGGTGACCTTCTGTCGGAACGGAAAGCCCTGGTGGTGCCAGAACCGGAACCCGATTCGGACAGTAACCAGGAGCGCAAAGAAGAGCGGGAGAGAGGTGAGAATGGGCCGCCATTGTGGCTTAGGAGCGGCAGCGCTGATGTTTTCTCCCGGTGTGGAAAATTCTGAACTGGAAATAACTCCTGTGAAAACCTTGGCAATCTGTATAGGGTAATCTACCCCTGAAAATGTAAGTTTTCCTGATGCCCTAGAACCTAGAGCCATTTTGCCTTGTGGGCCTGTGGTGAGTGGGGCAAGACGCAATGAATTCGACTTCTTCCACTGAAAGGTTGTTGTTGTTGTTTAGTCGTTTAGTCGTGTCCAACTCTTCGTGACCCCATGTACCAGAGCACGCCAGGCACTCCTGTCTTCCACTGCCTCCCGCAGTTTGGTCAAACTCATGCTGGTAGCTTCGAGAACACTGTCCAACCATCTCGTCCTCTGCTGTCCCCTTCTCCTTCTGCCCTCCATCTTTCCCAACATCAGGGTCTTTTCCAGGGAGTCTTCTCTTCTCATGAGGTGGCCAAAGTATTGGAGCCTCAGCTTCAGGATTTGTCCTTCCAGTGAGCACTCAGGGCTGATTTACTTAAGAATGGATAGGTTGGATCTTCTTGCAGTTCACAGGACTCTCAAGAGTCTCCTCCAGCACCAGAATTCAAAAGCATCAATTCTTCGGCGATCAGCCTTCTTTATGGTGCAGCTCTCACTTCCATACATCACTACTGGGGAAAACCATAGCTTTATACGGACCTTTGTTGGCAAGGTGCTGTCTCTGCTTGTAGGTTGCATTATTGCCCGCAAATGCCAGAGATTCCCACATCTCTCCAATCTCCCTCCAGGCAAGAAAGAGGCGTTGTCTCTAGTCTAAGGACACCTTCCAGCCAGGGAAAAGCACTCAAGTGGGATAACAGGCTGGTTGGGGGTCTGGCCTGGCCGAAGAGAGAGTTCTGGAGGGCTGCATTTAGCCCTCTGGGCTCGAAGTTCCCTAACTCTGCCCTAGAGAGTGACATAGTATGTTTATTTTATTTGTATTTAGTACACAAAAGATGGAAGCTTGCCCAATGTTTTATTTGCATCTGGCATTCATTCAATACAACAGGAAAGCAGTGGGAAATCTTTGCTGCTGCTGCTGCTTCCTCCTGTCAGGTAAAAGGTAAAGGTAAAGGGACCCCTGACCATTAGGTCCAGTCGTGACCGACTCTGGGGTTGCGGCGCTCATCTCGCTTTATTGGCTGAGGGAGCCAGCGTACAGCTTCCGGGACATGTGGCCAGCATGACTAAGCCGCTTCTGGCGAACCAGAGCAGCGCACGGAAATGCCGTTTACCTTCCCGCCGGAGCGCTACCTATTTATCTACTTGCATTTTGATGTGCTTTCGAACTGCTAGGTTGGCAGGAGCAGGGACTGAGCAACGGGAGCTCACCCCGTCGCAGGGATTCGAACTGCCGACCTGATTGGCAAGACCTAGGCTCTGTGGTTTAACCCACAGCACCACCCGCGTCCCTTCTCCTGTCAGGTAGCTCTTTACAAATCAGATGGTTATGAGCTCAGGGAGGTGGGGATGATAACTGCCCCATTTAGGTTTCAAGGCCTTTGGGTGGTTGACATCAAATGCCCTTTTAAAATGTATTGAGGGGGTTTTGGGGTTGTTTTCATTCTTATTTTGTTTATGTAGTTTGTGTTTTTATATTGTGATTTTATCTTGTGACCCACGCTGAGACCCACGGGTATAGGGCAGTATACAATTTTTTTTTAACAACAATAGCAGGGAGCAGAAAGCTGTGTCCTTTCATGGCTGGGCATTATTTCTTATCATTTCCTAGGAGAGATCTTTGAGCCGGCCTTCTCTTTTCTGGCTACGCTGGCCAGCAGCACCAGCGAGGAAATGGAATCTCAGTTGCAGGAGCGCGTGGAGTCTTCTCGCCGGGTCGTCACGCAGATTGTGACCATGTACGATAAGCTCCAGGAGAGGGTGGATGTGCTCTCCCAGAAGCTGAACAGCGGAGGTATGGGATGCTCCCAAAAATATATATCGTTTTTGAGGGCTTCGTTCTCAAAAGCAGTTCATAAATAACTTGGGGGGGAAATGAATCTCAAAGTAGCCAAATGCTACCACTGTTGTGGTTCTCCTTGTGTCAAATTTTAGATTGTATGCTCCTTGGGGCAGGGGCCTAGTCTTTTAGTTCCTGGAGGTTTGGCCAGCAAGCCAGGCTGCTAGCTGCCCCTCTTTCCTTGTGATTAGTTGCGTCAGGTGTTCCCTATTGTATGGTTTGATGAGAGTGGTAGATGCTGTTGAGAGCTAACCCTATTCTTAGTGGGTCTGCTGCTACTTGCTTGCTTTCTTCAGTGCAGAACCATTCTCCTCTCTGCGTTTCCGTGGCCACCACTGCTATGCCTCCACATCTGAGCATGAAGGAACAATAGCAGGATGCTGAAACCTTGAACCTTGGGGGCTGGATTCAGCTGCCTGGTTCCATTAGTAGAAGTCAATGCAAGCCTCCCCCTGCCTTTCCCCACGTGTCCTCTGCCTCCCCCAAATAGACTCTGGAGTGTAGGAGAACTCCCAGAACGATTTGCGAGGTGAGGAAAGCGGATATTGTTCCATTGGACAGGCAGAAAAGCTTTAGCTGGCAGAACAATCTCCCGAGTGCTGTGTTGAATTCTGCCCCACAAATCTGATGCGAGATCACTGGGCCTTGCTTCCCACACTTTTGAAATCTGTCGTTAACCGTGAGGGCAAAAGCTTGCTTTGAAAAACAAAACCCGCCAAGATTCTAAGGATGCTGAGTTTGCAGTCACTACTGAATTTTGCACAGAACACACGCCTAGGCCCGCTAGCTTCCGATGTTTTTTTTATAGTAGCGTTCCAAAAGCCTTTATTCCCTCAGATGTTTCTCTGATGGAAGAGGCTCTCCAGGAGCTGAACTCCTACCTGGCAAACGAGAACAAGCGACTGCAAGAACTGGCCGATTTACTCCAGGAAAAGCACCGCACCATGTCTCAGGAGGTAACAAGGAGAGGATCTGCGGTGCTGTAAACTGGGTAGCAGAAAAAGAATCCTGTTGACAAAGTTGTGGGGTTTCAGTGTGTAGATGTGTGTGTGTGTGTGTGTGTGTGTGTGTGTTGGGCGTGTGGGTTAACTGGACCAAGGAAATGCTATGGCCAGGTGAATTGATGTTGCCCCCAGAGGCTTTTAGGTGGAGAGAGTGTAACTTGCCCAAGGTTGTCTAGCGAGGAGCACGCAAGCCACCGCAGCAACTCTCCATTCTGTCTACTGCGTTTTCTTTCCATGTGGAGTCGAAGGGAAGCACTGAGGCTTCTGGGAAGAGGGAGGGGAACATCTGCTTGCCTCAGCATGCGGGAAGTTAAATTTAGACCAGCGATGGCCAAACCTGGCCCTCCAGCTGTTTTGGAACTACAGTTCCCATCATCCCTGACCACTGGCCCTGTTAGCTAGGGATGATGGGAGTTGTAGTCCCAAAACAGATGGAGGGCCAAGTTTGGGCATCACTGATCCAGGCAGTCAGTTGCTCTCTGAGCTGCGATAAAAACAGTTTCTTGCGCTTTCTCGTTCTCCTCCTTGCTCCTCTTCCTCTGCTGCAGTTTGCTAAATTGCAAAGGAAAGTGGAGATGGCGGAGTCTCGCGTTTCTGTACTGGAGACCATGATTGACGACCTGCAGTGGGACATCGACAAGATCCGCAAGCGGGAGCAGAGGCTGAACAGGCACCTGGCAGATGTCTTGGAGCGGGTGAGACTCAGCGCCCCTGGGAACAGCCCCAGGGTTGTAGCAGCCCTGGAAGGTGTTGGCAGGGACCGTAGCTCCATGGTGGAGCATCTGTGCCTTGCACACAGGATTGGTCCGGGTTCAGTCCTCAGGATCTCCGGGATAGCTAACCCTGGAGAGCTACTACCAGTCAGTGCAGACAGTCCTGAGATAGATGGATTGACGACCTGACTCAGCATATGGCAGCTTCCACTTTTAATTGTCGGAAGGTGGAAACGCCTGGCGAGCGTTGTCCTTATTTTATTTTTAGATTTGTATCCCGCTTGTTTGGAACCAGCGTCTCCAAAGTGGCTCTCAATGCTTAAGAAATTGCACATTGAAAATAAAACTAGTGTGTCTTTTGCAGGTGAACTCAAAAGGGTACAAGGTGTATGGAGCAGGAAGCAGCCTGTATGGGGGTACAATCACGATCAACTCTCGGAAGGTAAACCTTGAGACTTTGCACACGGGCAAACATAGAAGCAGCAGTGGGTGTGGAGGTGCGAATGGGGCTTTCAGCAACTGGCTCCTTTCCCTTTCTCTCTTTTGCAGTTTGAGGAGATGAATGCCGAACTCGAGGAAAACAAGGAGCTTGCCCAGAACCGCCTGAGCGAGCTCGATAAGTTGCGTCAGGATCTTGAGGAAGTGACCACGCAGAACGACAAGTTGAAGGTACCAGGGAGGGAAAGCATTTTCCACGTTTCTGATAGTTGAGGAATACCTCCCCCCCCGCACTCTTAATTCTTACAGACTCTAAAATTAAATTTTAATTAACAGTTAAAAGGCAGGATGATGAAAATAATGATGATGATGATGGAAGCCGTTCCTAGTACTTCCTGGCAGCCTGCGTGGGTGAGGCTAGTCCAGGGGCAGGCAACCTAAGGCCGGGCGCTGGATGCGGTCCAATCGCCTTCTTAATCCGGCCCGCTGACGGTCTGGGAATCAGCGTATTTTTACATGAGTAGAATGTGTCCTTTTATTATAACCCTGCATCTCAGAGTTATTTGTGGGGCATAGGAATTCGTTCATTCCCCCCTCCCCCCACAAAATATAGTCCAGTCCCCCACATGGTCTGAGGGACAGTGGACTGGCCCACGGCTGAAAAAGGTTGCTGACCCCTGGGCTAGTCCTAAGCCTTAGAACACTCTACTGTCCCAGGAAGATGCTCCCTATTGCAGTTCTAGTGGCTCACCACAAGGGGCAGCATGACCTGTTCAATCCAGGTGGCTTCTTGATTAGGACAGGTGAATGTTGTATGTCGAGTGATGCTTCAGCCATGAGAGTGGAGGCAGAGCTCTCTAGCCTAGAGATGGGTGGGTGGGTGTGCTGCTGGACTACAACGTCCATCAGCTCTAAGCATTGACTATGCAGGCTGGAGCTGATGGGATTTGGTGTCTGAGAACCTCTGGAGGGCAACAGGCTCCCCATCCCAGCTTTTTAGCTCATTGGAAGAAGGAAAGGTATGCATTAAGTCATGGGTAGGCAAACTAACCCCGGGGGCCGGATCCGGCCCAATCACCTTCTAAATGCAGCCTGTGGATGGTCCAGGAATCAGCATGTTTTTACATGAGTAGAATGTGTCCTTTTATTTAAAATGCATCTCTGGGTTATTTGCGGGGCATAGGAATTCGTTCATCCCCCCCCCCCAAAAAAAAAATATAGTCTGGCCCCCCCACAAGGTCTGAGAGACAGTGGACCGGCCCCCTGCTGAAAAAGTTTGCTGATGCCTGCATTAAGTGATCTCCATAGGTTGGGTTCAGCAGATCCTTTCATGAATTTCTTTCTCAAGATAACATGCTTTACGCATGACTTGGATACAGTTTGGGTGAGGTCTGTAAAAACGTGCCACTCTTTGTTTTATTGCCCTGGCTCCTCAGAAGCTGCTTGTTTGAAAACAACACGCTGTGTTTCAAATCCATAGATTCCCACCCCTCCCTTATGAAGCGAGTGTTTCCTTGCAACTGTAGAACGATTTTTGATGCAGTGCTGCCACTTTCTGGCCGTTTAAGCACACTGCAGACATTTTGAATTCCCTCCGCTCTTCTGCATAGTGTTGAGTGCAGTTTTTATTTCTGCCGTGTGTCACGGGGCACCATTTTCTCTTTTGCCTCCCCACCCCCTGTTCTGTGGCCCCCTGCCCAGGTGGACCTGAGGCGGGCAGTGGAGGAGGTGGTGAAGGAAACACCAGAGTACCGCTGCATGCAGTCCCAGTTCTCCGTTTTGTACAATGAGAGCCTGCAACTGAAATCTCAGCTAGACGAGGCCCGAACGCTGCTTCACGGCACCCGGGGTACCCACCAGCGCCAGGTGGAGCTCATTGAGGTAACGGCTTCCTCCCCTTGTTTCATCTCTTTCCTCTCACTTTCCTTGGGGTGGATCATGGCAGGTGGCACCCGCACTAAACTCGCTGCTGGACAAAAAAATAGTGGTGCAATTGACTTCTGACAAGCACACAGAGTGCGAACAAGACTGAGCGTTTGTGTTGAGGGGAGGGGGGCTCGTTTAATTTCAATGCACACAGGTGGTGTAGTGACAATAAAGGTTTATTTATTTATTATTATATGACAAAGAGGGACGCGGGTGGCGCTGTGGGTTAAACCACAGAGCCTAGGACTTGCCGATCGGATGGTCGGTGGTTCGAATCCCCACGACGGGGTGAGCTCCCGTTGCTCGGTCCCTGCTCCTGCCAACCTAGCAGTTCGAAAGCACATCAAAGTGCAAGTAGATAAATAGGTACCACTCCGGCAGGAAGGTAAACGGTGTTTCCGTGCGCTGCTCTGGTTCACCAGAAGCGGCTTAGTCATGCTGGCCACACGACCCAGAAGCTGTACACCGGCTCCCTTGGCCAGTAAAGCGAGATGAGCGCCGCAACCCCAGAGTCGGTCATGACTGGACCTAATGGTCAGGGGTCCCTTTACCTTACTATATGACAAAGAGACTCTAACAATAAGGCGTTTGTAGAAGAATGGAAACCCTTTTCGGATTACAGTCGTACCTTGCATCTCAAACGCCTTGGTACTCAGACGGTTTGGCTCCCGAGCGCTGCAAACCCGGAAGTAAGTGTTCCGGTTTGCAAATGTTCTTTGGAACCCGAATGTGCTATGGGGTTTCCGTAGCTTCCGGTTGGCTGCAGGAGCTTAGCGCGATGCTGAATCACTCCGGTTGCTTACAGTGGCACACCCGTCCTCCCTCGAAGCAAGGGTCTGTGGATGTCCAGGAGTTATTTAGAAGAGAGAAGCTGGAGGAGAACTAGCTGCTGCTGTTGGGTCCTTAACCCAACATGCACGGCATAAGAAGAGGGTCTGCAGCCCTTTCTCTCAGCATCTCCTCGTCCCGCAGCAAGAGGGGGCTGCTGCTGCAGTCAGAGACATCGAGGCTGAAATCTCTCTCTTTCTCACCAGCGGGATGAAGTCAGCCTGCACAAGAAGCTGCGAACAGAGGTCATTCAGCTCGAAGACACCCTTGCCCAGGTCCGCAAGGAGTACGAGATGTTGCGGATAGAGTTTGAGCAGACGCTTGCCGCTAACGAACAAGCAGGTGACTTGAAGTCGGGTTGTGCACAGAGGCACTCGGGTTTTCCTTGTTGGGCACCTCTCTTGGGGAAGCATCCACAGTAGCTGAGCTGCAGCCAGGTTAGCCTCACCTGTGCAGATAATCTGAGCAATGTGCACCTCTTGTGTATTACTGCACTGTTCCGTGTATAAGACTATGTTTTTTCCTTTAAAAATCAAGCTAAAAAGTGGGGGTTGTAGTGCACAGGGTGGATGTCTGATTGGTTGCTGCCACGGCTTTCAGCAGATATTGTGCGTGTCATTGGTTGCTGCGTCAATGGATGGTTACGCTCCGGCAGTTGGGCGGGTGATTGGCAGCTTCTGCTGGCGACGATGCGTGCGGGTGGGCGACTTTCGGCAATCCTCCGCAAAAAAAGCTTAACAACTCTGTGCCATCTCCCCCCATTTTCTTTGAGTCCACCAAAATAGGGGTAGGCTTATACACGGGGGCGTCTTATACATGGAAAAGTACAGTAAGTCCTCTTGTCTTAAAACCTTTGTGATCTTTCAGGTAAGCCCTGAGCATGTGGCTAATCAGGGATCCCCCTTTTCTAGTCAGGAACTTGCCTGAGAGCTCTCTGCCTTAGTTTTCCCTGTCTTGAGCCACTGTGACCACAAGGTCTCAAAATACCGTATTTTTCGCTCTATAAGACACACCAGACCATAAGGCGCACCTGGTTTTTGTAGGAGGAAAACAAGAAAAAAAAATTCTGAATTCCAGAAGCCGGAACAGCAAGAGGGATCGGCTTCTGGGATAGCCGCGCGAAGCCTCTTCAGGTCAGTGGGATGAAGGCTCCTCCTGCCCGGAAGAGGCACGCGGCTAAGGCAGAAGCTTCGCAGGAGAGGCGCTTCGCTGAAGGGGCGCTGCGCAGCTCTCCCTCTCTGCACAGCATCATTTGCTCCATAAGACGCACTCACATTTCCCTTACTTTTTAGGAGGAAAAAAGTGTGTCTTATGAAGTGAAAAATACGGTAAACCCTGTACGGTTGCAGATTTTGAAATACGGCTGCCGCAGACCTCTGATAGTCTGAGTTTCGTCTTTTAAAGCTGTGTTCTCAAACCTGAGTCTCTAGCTGTTGTTGGACTACAACTCCCATCGGCCCTGACCATTGTCCTGCTAGCTAGAGATTTCTTTTGAGAATTATTAGGGACAGAACTACCTAAATTGTATAGAAATTTATTTATGTATGCTACTGCAGCAGCAAGAATGTTACTTGCCCCAAAGTGTAAAGAAGCAGAAGTCCCAGAAAAAGAAGAATGGATACAAAAGCTTATGGAATATGCAGAAATACCGGAAAAATAAGAAATCAAGATAACAAACTTTTTATAAAAGAGTGGAAATGGCTTATTAAATATTTACAGATAATTGTAAACAGATAAGAACATTAGCAGGATTATTATAATAACCTGCAGTTTTATAAGTGTGTATATTTACAGTAGATAAACAAACGAGCAAGTTAAATGAAGTTGGGTATGCAGAAGATATTTAAAAAATAATTTAAGGAACCGCAGAAAGGGGGAAGGAAGCCAAAATTTGGAAATGTTAGATTGGTTGCAAAACTAATGAAATGTATAAATTTGAAAAATATAAAAAAAACCTTAAAAACCCCCAAAACAGCTGGAGACCCAAGTTTTATAAACACTGCTTTAAAGGAAAAAAGAAGGGACTGGTTATACATGGAATGAATCAATACATCTAAGTTGTATGGTGGCCTAGTAACTGGGAAGCGAGATTCCATGCATTTTGGTGTCTTCTGCAAGGTCTCGTTCTTGGCCGCTCTGACAACCGTATTTCAGGGACAGAGTACCTGTGACCCTTCAGATATTGTTGGGCTCCAGCTTCTGTCTCCTGGGCTGTAACTGGGCTTGATGGCAGTTGGAGTCCATCCATGCCATACAGTCATTGCCCTTCATTAGGTTGGAGACAGTCAAGGCCTTTTTCGGTCCGAGGAACACATTGCCTTCTGGGAAAATTTCTAGGGGTCCGTATGCCAGAGGTGGGGGAGGGGATACAAAAGCGAGCAAAGCAACACGTGCAATTTTTGTTTTAGTTTATTTTACTTATTTGTTTTGTTTTATTTATTTATTAAATTTGCATGCCGTCCTCCTTGCAAAGATCTCAGGGTGGCTCACAGCAAAACACACACACACAATTTTTCCTTTTCGGGAAAGGTGGGTTTCATTTCCTCCTTACACTCCCCGTCGTTCTCCCACTCTTCCAACCTGAACTCTGATATAAACTA